TACTTTTTGAGGTATGTAAAGATATATTAAACATGTTACATTGTTACTTTTATGAAATGATGCATTGTTTCACAAAGACAAAGTGGATAAAAATATCAACAACTCAACATGCAAGGCCTTGTCTGCCCAACAATATGGGGGACAACTGCCCCACCTACCCCCCCCCCCCTCCCCATCTTGTATGTCTATGATGTTCAAGCAATAAACACAGTGTACATAACAGGCACTATACCTGCATATAGTCACATAAAAAGATCAAATATGAATCTAGAAAGTTTTTTTGGCAAATTGTTTTCTAATGTTCAGTTCTTGTTAGTTAGTTTACTAAAAAATTCTAGCATTGCCCGTTACTGTTCCTGCTGGTTTTGCATGAGCATCATTTGCAAGTTTGCAGTTTGTTGCATGTGTTGTTGAAACTGCTGCTGCTGCTGTTTCTGCTGTTGGATGTTCTGGTCCTGCATTGCATGTAGCATCTCCATTTGTTGCTTGCTGGCATCCTTCTGCATCGCCACGTTTGCAGCGTGTTTCTTCTCCTCTAATTCTAAAATTTTGTATTTGACTTCCATTTCCTCTTTTCGCACCTTTTGCTCACTCACGTATTTTTCCTTCAAATAATCCACCATCTCTCCTCCACTTCTTCGTTTCCTTTTCGTTTTTTTCTCCTTTTCTTCGCCATTTCTTTTTTGAGTTTCTGCGAATGTTTCCATTGCAGTCCGTCTCACATCATGTGCTCTTGCTTGTTCCTGGTCAGTTTTTTCTTGATTCATTCGGCTTGCTTCTTCTTGCTCTTCTTCACCAATCTGCTCGGCTACATAAATCTCCTCAAGTAGGATATCAAGCTCTGTTTTTTCTGGAGAGATACCACTTGCCTCCTCTTCCTGTCTCATTTTCTTTTGGTACTTTTTCTGCAAGACTGCCAAGTGCTCTCGAACTGATCTTTGTGTCACAATAAACTTAGGGCTCACCAAAGAATTCATCTTGTCAGCAATCTGTGTCCATAGGCTACCTCGTTCGACTGATCCCTTCTTGCTTTGGAATGAATTTACCAACAGAATATCTCGACAATAAATCATGTTATGTTCCATTGTCCACTCCATCTGGTAACAACAAAAAACTATCAATTTATATTGGTTTTAAAAAGCAATGTCACAGATAGGAAAGGCTTTATATCAACCAAATATTTAATGGGTCTTTAGCCAAATTTTAAAAGATGATAAAATGTAATTTTTATGTGCTGGTCAGTGAAACATACATGAAGAAATAGAATGTTAAAAATACAAGTTTATAATTATAAGTTTTTTATTAGATTTGCACGCTCCCAATGCCCCCATGTTTCTAGAACATAACACAATCATTTGTAGATTTATATAAATACATACAACAAAACTATTTTGAGTTTAAATTAGCAAAATTTGCATAGTTGCTGAGGCATTTTATTTATATTCAAAACAAATTATGCAAATATCAATATGGCGACAAACTATTAATTTAATAACAAGTTTAACAAGTACTCTTTCAAAATGTTACTGTCATTCTGCAATCTAAAATAACGCAAATGTTCACAAATACCTTTTATAATCTTAACGAACGCAAATTTTCATAAATACCTTTTATATAACTTTAATCTTTAGTGATGATGTTCTCACGTCGCAGTCACAACGCCAAAACACTGGTTCTCACGTCGTCGACACGACGAGAAACGTCATTAAATTGCAAAGTCAGCAAAATTAAGTTCAGTTAACACTTCCGGTCAGCGTTGCCGTCGCACATTTCGTGCAATCTTAAAGTCCCTATTATATCCTGTGGATACGTTGGTCTGAACAGTGCGTCTTTCAGAACAGCTTTCACATATTTTCCATTTTCATCAGCTATTGATACTAATTCAGCATCTCCACCTTTCAGAGCCACATTATTTCTACGTGTCCCATCAGCAAGTTCCATGTAATGCTTTGCTGGGTTAAAGTTACCGTCAACACGTTTCAATACATCTTTTGTAACAATATGAGATGTAGCTCCAGTATCAACAAGCATCCCATTTGCTTTGTACTGTCATTTGCTTTGTACTGTGACTGCTTAAGGTGACTCCCTTGCACATGAAAAGTGTATGAGTGTTCATCCCTGGGTCACCGAACTGGCCACCAAATGTCGCTTGTTTTACTTTTGTAGCTTCTTGGTCTTTTCGTTGATGTCTTCGACAGGTACTATCACTATGCGTTGTTGACTTGTGGTATGAGCACCACTTGCTTGTTTCACTCTTAGTTTTGTCAGGACAATCCTTCATGATATGACCTTTGCGACCACAAGCATAACATGTGACATAACTGGATGCAGAAAACGATGGGGACTCAGTTTTCATTACTTGATCAGTCTTTGGCTTACAATTAAACTTCTCTGTTTCTTCAAAGCTTTTCAGTTGAGACTTGAACATAGCAAATGTAATTTCACTTGTACTTTGTGTAATATGGACAACAAAGGGTTTGTATGAGTCAGGTAAACCTTTTAATATCATGGCAATAACAAGCCCGTCACTAAGTGTCTCTTTAGCGTTTTTCAGGGCCATAATCGATCTTTCTGCTCGTATTAGATAGTCTGTCACTGTCTCGCTTGTTCCTTTCTCGAGTGAAGTGAGCTCAGTATAAAGTGCTATTATTCTAGGTTTACCTTGGCTTGCGTAGTGGTCGCGTAAAATCTTTAAGGCTTTCCTTCCATCGCCAGCGGCATCTCTCATCACTAACGATAGGCTAGTATCATCCAAAAGTTGTATTAACTCGGCGTAACTCTCTTCATTTTTCGCTTCGTCGCCTTCTTCCTCAAGTGGTGCCGACGATAGAATTGTTTTCTTCAATTTTATGGTTTGCAAATAACCGAGTAATCTCGCTTCCCAAAGCTCGTATTTCGTTTCATCTCCGTCAAATAAAAGTCTTTGCAGTTTAGCATTGCTCCTGGGCCCATAACCTGTTGAACTCATTTGGTTTATTTCGGTATATTTTATTATATATTATAAGTTTTATAAAGGTTTTTTACATAACATAATACGAGACACACACACGGAGGCATCAGTGTTCTCCGATCCCATGATGCTCTTCTCATAGGATATGACGTAATATGAATAACATGAAAATATTGCGCAACAAGAGTTATTGTTTGTCACTTCCCGTCAAAATGGGAAAGATCCATCACTTTTGTAATAAAATATGTTGTCAGACGTCCATGTTTATAAACAGTTGCATGGCTACCATTGGAAAATATTGTGATATCCCGGTATATTCCGGGAAAATGTCGTGATATTCCGTGTTATTCCCCATATTCCGTGATATTCCGGCATATTCCGTGATATTCCGCCGTATTCAGTGATATACCGGCATTCCGGGTTTGTTAACGCCCCTTTATATATTTTAGAAATTGATAGTTCTGTATTAAAAAGTGTTCAAGTTTCATCTATTTTTTCAGGTTTGTACAAAAAATTGAAAAAAACAATTATCGTGTTGCGGCTGTTTCCATGACTAACATGACGTGAGCAACGCGAGCCTGCGTTTAGTGTTGGCGTAATTACGAATATACTTCATGTTGAAACAATGTTTGGAGAATATAAGCGAGGGGTTGTTGCATGCATGTATTTCTAGTATATAAATAAATACCTAAACCAGAATTTATCCCCGAGCCAGCGCCGTTCCGGGCGTAAGCCCGGGGCGAGGGTACTAATTCCGCCCGGCTATTTACACCCGGAGACAGGAACGCACTAGTGAAGTCTAAATTCATCAAATATCGCGGGCGCACGGTGTAAGGGTGGTCATCTTACTGATCTCAAAATATGGCTGTTTGCCAGGAGTGAAGGAGACAAAAATATTAAAAAAAACATGTAAGAAAGCATGGAAAATCGTTTCATAAAGAGAACTTTTTTCAATTTTTAAACGTAAACATTAAAAATTGATTTAGCATGAGAAATCCTAAAGTATAGTGCAAGTTTGTTTCAAATGTTTATAAAAGGCTTTGTATTATTATACACTTTGTTTTTGTTGTTCAAGTCTTTCATATGCATTACATGCGACAGTCAGTTGTTAGTTAAATTGACTTTTGTAGAAGTTCATGATAAAATGGAAAGCAAATTATTTTCAGTAGCGTCCTGTATGAATTAAATTTATTTCATTTCATTTCAAAGTGCGAGTATAAGCTGAAGCTCGAGTTGAAGAGTTTATCGGCAAAAAAGCAGTTAATTTCAATTCGCATTTAATTAAAAACGTTTTATGAAGAGTTTCGTGTTGAATTTTACATTAAAATGAAGCCCATAGAAAGCAAAATAATATACCTACTTTATATATTTTAGAAATTTATAGTTCTGTATTAAGAGAGAATCTCCACTATCACCGAGCAACAGGTGGCACATGATGAAAAATGAAATGTTTTCTTATATATATATATATAATTAATTTGTTAACTTAAAATATAGTCACAACTCTGAGTTTCACGCTCAATGCGATCTTCAGGCGACAATGTTTAAACACAGAGTAGAGACATACAGAGGCGTAACTGACCGTCGTAAACACTGCGGAAGATTACGTTTTCATGTACCCACTTTTTTTCAGACG